TAACTTGTAAGGAAACATAGACTCATAAAACTTCACATCCCTGGACATAAAAGATGTGTCAGTATCTAGACTACGAAGTTTATAAGCTTTTTTATCAGATCAATACCCCAATAAAATACACTTTTCAGCACGTTCAGAAAATTTATCAGTAACATCTTGTTTAACAGCAAAACAAAGGCAACCAAGAATTCTCAAGTGATCAAAACTGGGGGCCTTTTTAAAAACAAGTTCATAGGGAGATAACCCATTTAAAACTGATGTAGGCATTCTATTTATCAAGAAAACAGAGGTTAAAATCGCATCTCTCCAATATCTTACAGGAACTGCTGACTGAAAAATAAGAGATCATGCGACATTAAGAATGTGTTTATGCTTCCTTTCCACAACCCATTTTGTTGTGGAGTATAGGTACAGGAAGTCTGATGAATGATACCACATTCTATGCAAAAATATTTCATCTGATTATTGACAAATTGAGTACCATTATCAGAACGCACAATCTTAACATTAACACTAAACTGATTTGATAAAATATTCACAAAAGACTTAAAGCAATCAAAAACTTCACTTTTAGATTTCAAAAGAAAAACCCAAGTGGCCCTAGTAAAGTCATCCACAATAGTCAAAAGTACTTAAACCCCTCTACTAAAGCAAGTTTATAGGGTCCCCAAACATCTATGTGAATCAACTCACCTAATTGAGTTGAGCAATGTTGACTAAGAGAAAAGGACTCTCTAGTCTGTTTGGCTCTTTGACAAGCATCACAAGGAGGAAGAGACTCATTACCAAGCTTTAGTTTATCCTGTAAAGTGTTTAAAGCCTGGTCAGCAGGATGACCAAGTCTACTATGCCAAGTTAATTTTGAAACACAACATTTAGAATTAGTAAAATTAACTAAATTACCTGAGGGAATATGATCTAGATAATACAATCCCCCAGATTCTCTACCATTCTCCACCATCTCCTTTGATAGTGAATCCTGAATTTTACAATTATGCTCAGAAAAAATAATCTCACACCCACTATCCTTACAAAGTTTATGCACAGACAAAAGATTAACATTGAAGTCTGGAACAACAAAAACATCAAACAAAGTAAGATTAGAGGATAACTGAATATTCCCAATCTTATTTATAGTTTTAGAAGAACCATTAGGATGTTTCACAAGGAGATTAAGTCTAGACACATCCACAGTGTCTTGAAGTTGTGACTCAGAGGCTATCATATGTTGATTAGCCCCAAAGTCAACAATCCAACTCTGAGAACTACTCGGACTAACAAATGAATTAAAACATTGAAATGTAGATATACCTGCCATATTTGCAATAGTAGATACATCCTCACTAGAATAGTTCTCATTAATGAGACGAAGAAACTTGGTATATTGCTCACTTGTAAGATAGTGACAATCACTAGCATGAACAGACTCAGAAGGACCTACAGAATTGCTATTTGGAGCAACAGAAGATGAATTCACAGAAAAGTACTTATTTTGATTATTATTTTCATTCCTTTGTTTAAAACGTTTTGGATAACCAATCAATTTATAACACCTTTCTATTGTATGACCCTTAAGATTACAATGTTTACACAGTAACCCTTGATTTTTGAACCTATTTTGACCTTGTCCTATTTTAAAATCAGTAATCTTGCTGTTAAAAACAGAAACTTGAGGTTTTGAAGAGACAACAGAACTCAGAGAACCATTCTTTTGAAGAGATTTTTCTCTAGAAAGAATTGAGAAAGTAGTTTTGACATTAGGTAAAGGTTCCATCAAGAGAATGTGACTTTTAACTTGATTATATACATCATGAAGACCACTCAAAAATTGCATTAGTTTCATTAATTTTGAATGATCACTAAGTTTGGTGGCAGCCTCACACACACAGTCAATTAAACTAGTCAAACCATCAAATTCTTTCTATAAGGAATCAAGTTTATTATAATAATCAGAAAGAGAAGAACCATTTTGTTTTAAGGTGTTTCTCTGTTCATGGCTATTAAAAATTATAGAACCATTAGCCTTATTATAGGTTTCAAACAATTCATCCCAAATATCTTTAGCATTATCAGAATAAACATGACTAGCATATATAGTTTCAAAAATCGATCCTAATAACCAATTACACACGACAACATTAACACGTTCCCACTTAGAAGATTTAGTTTTATCAGTGTTCTCAAGAGTAATATTACCATCTACAAAACACAATTTATTTCTGGCCTTAAGACCTCTAGACATAGCACTACGCCATAGTCTATAATTTTCATTACCAGTCAGTTTAATTGTTATTATAGATGTAATAATATTATCAGATGGATGAACATATAAAGGGTCATCAAAATCAACAGGAACTTCTGTAGGGGTACCACTCCCTTCAGGTGTTTCATTAACCATAGTAAGTCACAGAAGACACACAATCAAACAAACAACAAATAAACCAATAGTAAAAAACAACACCTGTATTGACTTAAAGTCCAGATGGTCACTACAGTTTGTCCGGGCCCAAGACAATCAACACAGAGTCAAAACCATAAAAAACAAACTAATTCAAACAGACAATTAATTGGTGTACTGCTAAGAATAAAGAGATAGAAGGGAACAAGAAATCCTCACAGTGCAATTAGGTCAAATGAATTAATTCAAGATCGACTCCATGAATCCGTTCCCTATAAAGGTTTATCGGTGATCAAATCCGACACCAAAAGGATTATTTCATATGAAAGGATTAATCATCGATTCAGAGTTTCAATCCAAACCGCAACAGCAAGAATGGATCAATACGTCAATCTACAAGATTAACCATACAAACCGTAGTACCAGGATCTGATATAATAACCCTCAATCAAGGGTGAACAAAGAGAAAACCCTAAACTATTCAGATTCAAATGAAAAGAAATTTAGACAAGTAAGAAGACAAACCTTACTCAGATCGTTGAATCGATGAACACCAAATGACGAACAACAACTGAAGCGTTGGGATCAAGAATAACAAGCCTTACAGCTCTGATACCATGATGAAATTAGACAAACACAAGTTTCCTAACATCTTCATTTCTTATATCAATTGAGGATTAAAAAACATAAGGTTTTCTTAAACATACAACGGAAAACTCACTACAGAAAAACTAATCTACGCTCATAACAAATCACTCAACCGCTAATCTAACACAATCAACCGATGATAACAAATCTATAACAAAGCTCGTCTAGAACAACAATACAGAGTTCAAACACATCACCGATCATCTAAAATACACTCTAGATTTAAGCAAGAATGAGAGAGGAAACCCTAAATTTTCTAACCGGAGATGAGAGATCTATCTCGTCTTTACTCTCTCTTCTTTTATGTCAATCCTCAAATACGGATCCAACCGGAAGATACCTGACCCATACTTCAGATCCACGTGTTTCCCTACACTTTCACTTAAACCCACAAGAATGTACTTTGAACACAACACACCCCTTATTAAAATACGCTTGAATAAATAAACATGAGATTGTATCTTTATTAATTTTAACAAAAAATATCTTATTTTAAATAACTGCATTTAACTATTTAAAAAACAATAGAGTATTACGTTCGAAAATTATTACTAAAAACTATATTGACAAATCTCAATATATTTCTTCATTTTGAAATCTTCATGGTTCACATTACCGTATATTTGCATGCTTTCCGATGTGGTCTTTAATCTCAACAAAGATTCATACTTGTATCTTGTTAAAGTTCTTCTTTGTACACATTTGACATTGATTAGAACAGTTTACTAGTTTCTATTTAAATTCAATATATATACCATCATATGCAAATAACTCTTGTCAAGTTTACTTATTAAATAATCTTTATTTATTAATAATGTACTCTAAAAGTTTATTGTACTTCCCTGAATATGTGTTCATAAAGTCAATAGTAAAGTATAGTATATTAATACATGTTGAGTATTTTCTTTTGTTTTATAGATCTCATCCCCCATCATAAACCTTTAACTTTTAAATATACATACATAATATTTTATATCGATTATTAAATAATTTATTGGTAGTTATCAACAATTGTATTGCGTAAGACTATCGTTTTATATCTAATTTTTTTTTTTTTTTAGTTTATAATCGTTAAAGCATTCATTAATGGAATATTATATTTATACATTAGAATTTATCACTGTTGTAAAAATCCCGACTAGGTCCCGATTAATCTCCGATTAATCCTAGGCGCCACTCGACCGATTAGAGGGTGCCTAGCGATTAATCCCTACCTACATAATTAGTGAAACATTATAAAACGATGAAATTTTAACATTTTGAAAAAGTTTTTTCTCAATGCATATTATTTGAGGCATGATTAGCGTTGTATTAATCATATTAACTTATTTTGTTATGATATTAGTGGTATTTATGAACATTAATATGATATTAGTCATATTTAATTTTTTAAAATTCAGTAAATTAGCAATAAATGGTCTCCGATTAATCTCCGCCTAACCGATTAATCGCTTAACCGTAATCCACCGACTAGCTAACGTCGAGCGTTTTTTACAACCAAACAACTAATTAACTGTTTCATTTATTATCATACAACGAATCAGAAAGCAAACGTGCAACTAATTAACTGTTCTAATGTATAAAGATAATATTCCATTAATGAATGCTTTAAGATCTAACTTACTAAAATGTTAAGCAAAATGATGAATTTTGTGTTGGAGTAACAGAAGGTATAAAGAGCTATGAAATCCAATGTTTTTATTGCCTGCTGTTTATTGAAGAACTGATGCCTCTTTAAACAGACCAAAACTTCACAACTACTTGACTATGTCAGTCTACCACCACAAAGGTTCCTCGTTTTGAATTTACTACATTCAACACTATAGCACTTGTTTTACATATTTCATTTCTCCAGGGTGTTTAATTGAAAACCCCTTAAAGCCAAAGGTGCTTTTTGTAAACATAACATAAAGTCAACCCCAAGTATTCACGTTAACTTCATTATCTCCGGTCCATGCGCACACCATGTAATTTCTGTATTCAACACCCCATCGGCAAACTTTCTTTCTCCCGGCTCAAAATGAGTTTATCCAATGCACGACCTCTTTCTGCACCATTGGGGGATCCTCCGAGCTTGATCGACTATCAGGACGAATGTCTACCGAGAAAGATGGAATCAATTCATTCTGTGATTGGCAACAGTGATGATCGAACTAATAATCGATTAATCCAATTCATAAGGTACTTTCAAGATGCATTAGTAACTATTTGATTGCCAAAATAATGACATGAATTTGAACAGGAGCAAGACAGTGAAGCAATTGCGTCTATCAGAGGCGTTGATAGTACTTGAAACCACAAGTATTTATGAAGCCCGCTGTCAGATGGCTGCTCAAAGAGTTGATGTTCTTATACTGACTAACTCAGATGCGTTGCTCACTGGTGTATTAACGAACAAGGTTTGTCTTGAATTTATAATCACCCAAACTTTTACCAATTAATTTACAGAAACGTAATTAATTACCTTTTCTGGTATTTTAAGGATTTTGCCACAAGGGTTATTGCTCATGAGATTGATTTGGTGAACACACCTGTGTCAAAGGTGATGACAGAGAACCCAATTTTCGTTTTGTCTGATACCCTTGTAGAGGAAGCCCTGAATTACATGGTGAAAGGTTGGTAACAGTATTTTGGATGAATTGTATGTTGATTTTTGGTGTTAATTTGCTGAACCTTCTAATTAATCCTGTGAATTAATTTACGCATATACAGAACGATTTAGACAGTTACCTGTTGTAGAGAATGGCAAGGTTATTGGTTTACTTCAGCTGCTTTTATCTTTATTTGATGAAACCGAAGATATGGAAACGGCAGCTGAAAATTACGACAACGCTGTAGAAGCTGCGCATGCAGTGCAAAGAGTAACACAGAGGGCTTTAACGGTGGAGGAATTGCCTCGAGACAGTGCCATGATTATACCTGAAACCAAAACAATATACGAAGCCTGCTGTAAGATGGTTGCTGATGAAAGTGATGCTGTGGTACTCACTGGCTCAAATGTGATATTCAGTGGGATATTGACGAAAAAGGTTTGTTTTTAATCTCAACATGAATTTAAAACCAATCCATCGTTGATTGCTCCATCAGTTTCCCTGACTACGTTTTTGGTATTTGAAGGATATTGTATCAAGAATCATTCCTTGTGGGATCGATATTGTAAACACACCTGTGTCACAGGTGATGACAAAGAAGCCAATTTTTGTGTCCTATGATACTCTTCCCACGGAAGTCCTGCCAAAGATTGTATTGCAAGGTTTGTATCCAGAAGCAAAAATTGCATGTTTGTTTTCGTGTCAGATGGTTTAGTTCATTAAAGTTATAAATTGGAGGAAAAGAATGCTAAAACAAATACAAAGACTACTTATCATAAAAAGACTGCAACTACTGCCTACTAAATCACTAGTGCCCACATGGGGATTTACTTATTCATACTCTAAGCAAAAGACTAAACTACCCGTAATAAAACAATATGCTTTGAACCGGTCACAACTTTTGATTAAAAGTCAGAATTAAACATAACATAAATGGTTTACTAACGTTGCTTTGTAATTCAGTTTTAGCTTCTTCATAATAAAAGCCTTTGGCACCAAGTTATATGTCCCCTTTTTTGCCATTGTTGTACCTTCTAATCAAGTGATTTAATCTATGAATGTAGGACAAGGGACACATTTGCTTGTTCGAGAGAACAATGAAGATGGTGGTTTTATTTACCATTCACTGAGTTTAAAGGGAGGTGTTCTCCCAATTACAAGAACGACTCCTAAAAAACATAAGTTTCCAGATGCTCCACAACATACATCTATAGATCCCCCGAAGCAATCAAGTAGATAATTTCCATGTGTGAATGGAAATGGTGATTGCTATCAAACAGATGGTCCTGGTCTTACACCTTTTGTACATGTATCCAATTCACCATATCCCAATGGTGATCCTTATGATAAATTTGTCGCCCCTACAATTGTGCCACGTCACATTAAGCAATCAAGTGAACCACTTTCAAGTGTTAATGGAAACGACAAGTGGAATGAAACTCATGGTCCTAGTCTTACACCTTTTGTGCGTATGAGCAATTCATCATATGCACACCATTCTTCTCATAATTTAGTGGCCCCACTTCCACAACATACAGATGTACGTCCCCAGGAGATATCAAGTAGACCATTTCTAGGTGTTAATGGTAGCGACGAGAGGGATGAGAATCATGGTCCGGGTTTTACACCTTTTATGCATGTGACTAATTCCACATATCCTAATTATTCCACACATCCCAATAATTCTAAGGTGACTATAGCTCCAAATCTAAACAATCTTATTGTTGATTTAGTCCCCCCTCAACAACATACATATTTAGGTTCACCTCATGAATCAAGTAATCTAGTTCTAGTTGTGAATGGCAACCGTGATGATCACACAAACAAAAAATCATCCACTAATATTCGGTACGTCAATGACGAATTAGCCACTACGTACTTCATCTTTTAGCATTAGCGACAAACAAATATTTTTCTTGCCTTTCGATGACAATTAATTTTTGTTTGTCCTATGAACGACCCCAGCGATATATTGGAAATTAGGGACAAATAGTTTGCCAGATATATATATATATATATATATATATATATATATATATATATATATATATATATATATATATATATATATATATATATAAAACATAAATCTTGATTACCTGCGTTTTTAATATGATGGCATGCACTTTGACAGGGTTTCAATAGAAAGGAAGACAGTCGAGCAAATGGGTATATCAGAGGCCTTGATATTACCTCAAACCACAACTATTTATGAAGCTTGTTGTGCAATGGCTCTTCATAGAGCTGATGTTCTTGTAGTCACCAACTCAAATGGGTTACTTACTGGGATACTAACAAACAAGGTTTTTCTTACATTTTAAATGAAACCATTATTTACTTGTTAGTGTATCCCACATTGGTGGGAGAAGGGCTTCAACTTATTTATATATGTTAGAGCATCTCCTCTCTCCAAAAGTGCTTTTTTGGAGAGGCAATATTAGGCTCCACAAGAGCCCTTATGGAAAGAGGGAGACCAATGCTGGATACATTAACACTACCATGTTGAAGAAGCTTGATTAACTATTTTTGTTGCTTGAAGGATATTGTAAAAACAATGATTGCACATTACCATGTTGAAGAAGCTTGATTAACTATTTTTGTTGCTTGAAGGATATTGTAAAAACAATGATTGCTTCTGAGATTGATTTGCTGAACACACCTGTCTCAAAGGTGATGTCAAAGAACCCAACTTGTGTGATGTCTGATACGCTGTTTGTGGATACCCTTAAAAGGATGGAACATAAAGGATTTACACAATTACCTGTAATTCAGAAGAATGGCAACGTAACAGGTTTATTTTATAATACGGAGGTGTCCACAATAACTAACTACGAGAATGTTTTAGAAGTTGCAGCACAAGGATCCGCTCCGAGGTAGTATTTACCCTTTTTATATTTTTATCGATCAAACTAACATTTTTGCAAATAAAGTATAGCACCTTAGAAGAATGCTAAATTTTGGATAAACAAAATAAATTAAAATGCAGAAATATGCCTTTCTTACTTGCTTTAAAATGGTGCCTTCTTTTAAAAATTATTTCATTGACTTTTTCATAAGAACAATGTTATATCTTTGGAGACGATCACTCTTAAACATGAACATCCAAAACTAGATTAACTATATTTCCAAAATAATGATGGTTAACATTTGACATACATTTAAACAGAGGTCTAAAAATGAAGCAGATGCCTCTAGAGCATGCCCTAATGGTACCTGAAACCACAACTATATATGAAGCCTGTTGTCAGATGGCTGTTGGAAAATTTGAGGTTGTAGTACTCACCGACTCAGATGGATTATTGATGGGTATATTGACAAAAAAGGTTTCTCTTCAATCTTCACTTTAATTTAAAATCAACCGAATAGTTATTATTCCGCCAGTTTCACTAACTATCCTTTTTTATGTTTAAAGGATATTATAGCAAGGGTCATTCCTAGTGCAATTGATATTCAAAAAACATTTGTCTCGAAAGTGATGAAAACAAATGAAATATTCCTATCTTGTGATACTCTTCCTGTGGAAACCATGCAAGAGATTGTGAAAAGTACGCAACTTTAAAATGAAAAAAACTATATGTTGGTCTTTGGTGAACCTTCTAATCGTGTGATCTAAATTATCCGTGCAGGTGCATGTTTAGATTTGCTTGTTATAGAGAATAGTGAGGATAATGAATTACTTTATCTTCCGCTGGCTAGTTCTTTTCCTTATTAAAGATACCATATTCACTTTATTATGAAGACGATGATACGTAAGCTCTTGAATCGGGTGTCTATAACCACGAAGGTGAGTTAATTTCCGAAGAACACATGTCCCATAATAACTTAATATCTTACTGTATTTTTGAGATTTTCATCTATAAGATCTGATATGTTATTTATGTGAAATATTTTATGTAATAACTAATACTTGTTGCATTCACAGAATTATTTATACTTCGTAATTCTCAAATGGGGGGGCCGGGGTGGTTTGTATTGAATTTAACTTTAAATTTATCATGTGCATCTACTTTAGATTGACTATGAGACGTACAAATTGTGACCGACAGTCTATAATTTCGTTTACGAGCGGATAGGCCATGTAAATCTATGTCATGGTTTCATCACTTCATCTGTTGGTTGCATGTTATCAAAATATTTGTTTGATATCTCCAGATGGGTTTCGAATGTTTATACTTTGGGTTGCCAAATTTTCCGTCGGGTTTTCCTTTGGATTTCCTTTAGAGACAACGGGCCTTTGTATTGTAATAGTAGAAGTGATGGGTTTTGGATATATATATATATATATACACACACGAAAATGCAAATAATTTGCGAAAACGCGAAAACAAGGAAAATATATGAAATTGTGTCACCTTAATCTTATATTTTGGACAATAATCCATCTAAATTTTCAACTACATGATGATAATTGATGATACATGAGAAATTCTTTCATATTAGCAAAACATGTTTTTTGATATTTTTATTATGAAAACTTAAATTTAAAAATGGTTAAGGACGTGAAAAAGAAAACAATTGTTAAAATCACTTTTAAATATATATTATCATAACATCCTCCATTGTAAACTTGTTATCTTTAATTTATTGGTAATAAATTTAATTTCCAAATTACATGTGTTTAATTTTTATAAGATAAAATATGTTTTCGCGTTTTCGCAAATTATTTATGTTTTCGCATGAACCTACTTATATATAGCTACTTGTACATATATAATATATATATATATATATATATATATATATATATATATATATATATATATATATATATATATATATATATATATATATCCGGTAAGAATTTTTTTTTTTTGTAGGAAGGTAAGAAATTTTTTTCGACTTATTTTTTAAGTGAACAAAATAAATGAATCATTAGATGAATCAATAATCACATGATTCATAAAAAAAAAAAATCCCGAAAAACATTTCGATGATTCATTTTTACGATGATTTTGTTGATATTCACTAAAATTGTCATAAAAATGATTTTTTTTTCTAGATTTACCTAAAAATGAATCGTAAAATGTTTTTTCCGGATTTTTTCCTTGTAAATCATCTTACTTTTGAATCATCTAATGATTCATTTCATTTTTTTCCTAAGAAAATATGTCTATAAAAAATTTCTTACCTTCCTACCAAAAAATTTCTACTTATTTGATCTTGACTCTATATATATATATATATATATATAATATATATATATATATATATATCATGAATTACAATAATTGTATTGGTTCGATTTCTTATGTTTATCGAGATTTTGGTTGTTTCAATAATGTAAGTTTGACTCTTGCGATGACTTTCCCGAATGTATAGCTATTATACACCTAATGATTTTTTGAATGATACTTTTGGCGTTTTTACATATTTATGGGTGTCGTGAATCATCATACACTACCATAATGTATAGACCCTGATAATGCTTACTAGCTTCACAAACCTAACCTAATATTTTGATATGTGTTTAGATTTGAAGTTTAATTAAACAACTAGTGTAGATACCCGTGCGTTGCACGGGTTAGATGTGGATCTGATAATTTGAAGTTATATCAAAATACTCCGACATGAAATAGAGAATACAATCTTTCATCTTTTCCTGTTCTAAAAGAATGAAAAGTACACTGCTAAATTTGGTTAGGACAATGTAATATATTTGTCTTCTCCAGGTTATTTTTCTGTGTGTCCCATTTTGTGTGCCTTTGAATGTAATCATAGCCGAGCATCTTCGCCTTAGGTCACCAAGCCAACCCATAAGAAAAAAATAATTATATTTTATAAAGTTATCCAAGTAATAGATTTTCATAAGTTAAGATGATAAAATGTAACTCTTGTGTTTCTATTGTTTGGAAGCCTAATTCGGTCCATATGGATTTAGCATCTTCTACAGCCGGAAGCACAATCTTGTTCGTATTCAAAGACGAAAGTAATCTCATATTGCAGCTAAACAATACATGGAAGTATCCCTGCCAATCAAATATAAATTAATTAATTGCCACGTCAGCATCAACAATTATCTCAAAAAGAGAAGCAAAGCAGGAGATGTTTGTGCTCACATTGTCAAACTTTCCTAGCACATGGAAAAATCTACCCATGAGCCAAACCTATGACGTAAAAAAAGATAAAAAAAAAAAAAACAAATTTATTTATTTTTGGAAGCGAGCAGATGATTAACCTGCATATCATCAAAGTAAATTGAGTGGATAAATTATTTGAATTTTAAAGACTCAAAATACCATGTTACATAAATATGGAAACTTATTGCAGAAGCATTAGAGCAACCAATTTCTGAAAGTTGTAAGCACATGTCCATTTCATCAAACAGTCCATCAACTTCCATATTGGTTTCTGATTTTCATCCTGCAGCTTCATATCTTCTTTGTCTTCAAGTTTGAACTTATATGGCACTACTTGCTCAATAGATGTATCTTGTACAAGACTATCTTTTACCGGACTATCTTCTATAGGAGTTATATTGTTTAAGCAATTTATCTCCATCTTCACCTTGCTTTATTGTTTCTGTGAGAATCTCGATTACATCAATTACATTTCACCGACTATAGTAGACTATATTTGGGCTCATGGATGGTTAACCCAACTTGTGTTTTAGCAAGTTAACTGAATACATTGCTTCAATATTTTTTTAACATAAATTCGATTTCGTTAACCGATTAACTAATTCTAATAAATTAAGTTATGAGGGAAACAACAAAAAATGTTTATTTTTATAAACAACTAACAAAAATAAATAACCTTCAACAATCTTTGGTTACTAAGAAAAAATCCCTAAATTTAAAAATATAATCAAAATTAATATCTCCAAATATTCGTTTTCTTAGTTAACCATTTATAACTAAAATTATATACCATTAAACTAAACCTAAATAGAACAAAACAAACATTTTGATTCTTTAATAAAATTACTATTCTCTTTTTTTTTCCTTAATTTATTTACTGCAATGTAAAACATATTACTCATCATTACACTCGTATTCCTCCCTATTCACATGCTCTTTTTAACAAAAGTTAAACAAAGATTCATCGCTTTAACGTGTACTTACATTTGACTTGGTGATCTTGATAACGGGTCAACCTGTGGACCACAATCTCATAAGAAAAGTCATTTCACCATTTTATCTTCTTTTTCATTCACTTATTGTTTCATAACAAAAAAATGTGGAGATTAAAGATAATATAAGGAGACAATGATATGTATTTCTATTCCACCAAAAACTTTATCAGGAGGCAAACATGGGAGTTTGACCCGAAACATGGAACCTCAGATGATCGAGCCATGGATGTGTAGGTTGAATTGTCATTCTTTTTGTAGTTTAGACATGTCACAATTAATAACAAATACAAAAAATCATAAGTAAGACATATATACCGACTTAAAAATGGTAACTTATTATAGTCAACTGCACCAATTTCAGCCTAATAAACAGTACCGATGGTCAGATCTGGAGCTTTAACCTTACATATCTGAAAAAATTACCAAACAATACATGAATATGTGAAAACTTTTGAAGGAGGCACGCTAACTACGGGGAACTAACCTGATCATCAAATATTTAGCATCATTTGTCACATAGATCAACATGAACAACATGAACAACATGATCATAAAAATAGCAAAAAAGTACTCATTAAACAGATAGTGAGCCCAAAATTAAGCTTACCTTAATAATAGTTTGAAAAAAAAAACATTAATGAAGCATTTTATCGAGCAATTGGCGTGCATCATGCAAGTTTCTTTCAAATCTGAAAATCAAGACGAAAAAAAGGGCTGCTGGCTTGATTGTTTGCGTTGTTGGTGTTTTTCACTTCTTCGCAGAACCTAGGTGTCACTTACCCATGTGCACCAAATGTCCCCAGCAAGACAACTGCAAAAGATTTGTAAACAGGATTGACATAAATAAAGGCACCCAATTAAGGGAAAAACATAATTAGGGTGACTATACAAACTAACATGTGTGCTTAAATAATGGAAGTCTGTAAATTCGATAAACAGCAAAACAACCCGACAATCGAATTTGGTGAAGAAACAAAAGCATAATCTTTTGACAGAAAAAAACAACAAAAGCAGTTACTTTTTATACCAATATGATAATATATGACTTCTCTTTGAGAGTCTTCAAACAACCTCATCCTTCGGGTTCAGAAAAACAACAGAAAAGGATAAACATGTAAATTATGCAAAGCTTCAGCTAGCTAGTTAATAGTAAGCTCTAGGAACTTGGCATCACTTCCAATGGGAAGAAATAAATCCAAATGAAATGAAAAATAAAATCGAAACTATATGCAAATTAACCGTACCTTTCTTCAAGTCCAAAATTAAACCCTAAGTCGATCTCTTTTGATATACAGAGGTAAACAATGATGTATGCATAAAATTGGGAAGAGTAAGCGATGAGAGGTAGCAATGCTATCGCAGGATAAAGACGGTGATTTGAAATCGACCTCGTTGAGTCGACGGTTAGAGAGAGACATAATGAGATGATTAAAAGCAGCGGTGATATTCAGCAGAAGAAAAGGATTGGCGGAGGGAACGGTGGGAGAGCAGAAGCAAACGCGTGTGAAGATCGAAACGGTAAAAAAAATAATCGGATGTACTGAAGATGGAACGGTAAAAAATAAATAACAGAATGTACTGTTCATAAGAACATTGAGATTTAATTATATACTTAATTAGAGAAAGAAACACTTCATGATATTTTGAAGACATATGGGTTACGATGTTGAGATAGTATTTTCTTTAATTATTATCAGATGGTTATTTACACCTCGTATACCTCGAAAATTTAAACTCTAAATTATTAAGTACTTATGTAAGACCCCATTCCAAGTATTTTTCATTCATGGATCAAA